CCTCCCGACAGTGGCTTAAGTTACCCTTGAAATAAAGCCAACTGCTACTGTTCTGGGAAGAGTACTGTGTGTCAACTGAACCAGCCGTGCTACTTAGTCCACTGACATGTTCCAGACATTGGCTTTAAATTCCTGACATGTTTGACAACTTTTAAGGTCACAAGCTTTCATACCATCTGATCTGGCTGTACAATACAGACTCTGGAAATGCACAAAGTTTCTGAGCCAAATTGTTTGATTAAAGCTTATTTTCTTAATTAAAAGAAATGGTAAATATAAAATTAGTAGGGAGGAGCTGCCCAGTTCAGCCTGTTTTACAGGGCTAAAATCTAACCTTTTTGATTTTAATCCACTTTTTTTTTCATTGAACTTCACTGTGAGTTGGAGCACACATGGTTACAACATGGATCATGTGGCAGGTTACTATCAGGGGAAAACCTGTGCAGAGATTGAGTATTAACATTTTGCCATAACTTTTTGATTTTTCTTGGCAGTTCTCAAATCAGACAGGGAGTCTGGATGCAAATCAGCAGTTGCAGATAGCACTGGAGGAGAAGGCGAGCCTGGAAACCCAGGTTTCTCAGGTAAGAGGTTGTATAAAATACGATCCAAATCTTGACATCTGTAAAGAAATTTGTGTGGCAGAAGAATGCAGCCTGAGCTTTGCATTAACACTGGTTTCTTCAAGCCTTATCCCTTAAACAGTCACTGCCAAATTTATTTAGCCAATATGATTTTCTTTGTGCTTTATTTTGTTTTGAACAGCTCTCAGAGTCACTTCACCAGCTCCAGACAGAAAGAGATCAGTATGTAGAGAAACTGAAGGAGGAGAGGAGCATTTGGCAGCAGCGAGTACAGCAGCTCTCTGAGCAGGTAACATCAGTGGCAGTATCACAGCTGCTTTTGACAAACACAGGCAGGAGTAACTGCACCATGAGCATTGTTTTAACTTTCACTTGTGTGGCCTTGCAGGTCTACACAATGGCAGAGGAGAAGGAGAAGCATATGGCCCAAATTCAGGAGCTGGAAGCCAATGTTACAGAGCTGTTGAGCAAATCAGGTAGGGCTTCCAAAGTGGGGCTTCACATTGCAGAGTACCAGCTGGTTAACTCTGTCTCCTCTGTGCAGGAACTTCTGCACCTGAGGTGCAAGTAGGTCTGAAGCTGTGAAGGCAGCTGAAAGCCTGCTGACCCTAAGAAACCTTTCATCCTAGCAAACAGCAAGTGAACTACTTCAACTAATTGACCAGCAGACTGTTTATGTCTTTAGTATCTGCCTGACTGTACTGTCAGCCCCTCTGGCCCAGGAGTTTGGGAAGGCAGGGTGCTCTTGCTAGGGCTGTGAGGGAATTAGCAGCACATGGCTGGATGCTGTGCTTGGTTTTGGGGTAGTTTCCCTCCTTTATTCCTCTCAATGCCTTCCGGTGACGATTGGATACTGCAGCTGGTGATACTTTCTGGGTCATAGAGCCCTATAGGTTGTGTATATAGTAGTGATGTGTATTACACAGTGATTTCGCCCTTTGACGGAGCTGGTTTTGATTCTATTTCCTCAGCAGTTAAGCCCATGGATATTGAGCCTTCCTCACCAGCAGGGCCCACAGCAGCTGAGCTGAGTCTGCAGGAAGAGATCCAGCGACTGCAGCAAGAGAAGGAGGAGCTGCATGGGCAGTACCAGGCCCAGGTTCGGGACAACGAGCAGCTGAGCCACCTCAACCGGGAGCAGGAGGAGCGGCTGCTGGAGCTCGAGAAGGCTGTGCAGCGCTACAATGAGGAGTCTGCAGACAGACAGCAGATCCTGGAGGACATGCAGAGTGACAAGGCCACAATCAGTAGAGCACTGAGCCAGAATCGGGAGCTGAAGGAGCAGCTGGCTGAGCTGCAGAATGGGTTTGTCAAACTGGTATGTCTCTTCTGTGCATCTTTTCCCAGTGCTTCCCCGCTACTTCCCTGACTGGTGCAATCCTTTCATAGCACAGATGTAAAAAGCTGGCAGAAGCATTATCTGTCTCTTGAGCTCTGAGGCTATGGGTGCTCCATCTTCTGTGATACATATTGCCATGCCATACTTCTTCAGGTGCTCTTGGCAGATGACCCGTATCTTTGTCCAGAGCAGTTTCCTTTTCCCTCTCATCCTCTAGCAGTCAGGCTGTTTCTTTTCCTGAGTATTCCTACTGCCCTTGAAGATACCCATTTTCTGTCCCCTGTATTTGCCCATGAGGAAGAAGTTCTCAGCAGTCTTCTCTCCTGATGCTGTCATTCTTATCTGTCCTGGAGCTGAATCCTTACTCTTGCTTGCTTCTTCCAATGTAAGAGCTTCCTGTTTGGGGTGCTGGCAAACTGACACATGGTCTAGCTGCTGATTTTCCTTTAGTCCTTTCTGAACTCCTTGTTTTTGAATGTCTGTGACTGTTTGGGATATTCATACCACCCATCTGCTTTGGAGCTGACAGGCTGTGTGATGTGCCAGGCCTCTTCTTGGCACTGTCCCAGCACTGATTCCCCTGGCTCTTTCCTTGCTCTTCTCCCATCTTCCGAACCTTTCTGCAAGTCATTTACTGCCCTGAACAGTCAATTTATGGGCCTTAGTTGCACCCCAGAATAACACAAGGAATGGCACTGTGTTGTATTGGGAATGAACATGGTTTACTGAGAGTATAATAGTTTATGGTGGTTGGGGCAATTTTCTTATACAGTGGTATTTGTCTTGTAGACAAATGAAAACATGGAGGTTACAAGTGCCCTGCAGTCAGAGCAACATGTAAAGAAGGAGCTGGCCAAGAAGCTTGGGCAGCTGCAGGAGAACCTGGGGGAGCTCAAAGAGACGGTAAGCAACAGCCGGTGGGATGGCAGGGCAGGTACATAGCGGTTTATGCAAATAGCTGGCAACTTTCCAAACTTTGATGGAAAGATGGAAATTGGTATTGTAATGATCAAGCTGGGAGCCTTCCCCTATCGTCTGCTGTCTGATGTGGGGGACCAGCATGTGGGGGCAGCTGCCTGCCTACCTAGTTGATGGCTTTGGGGCAATGTTGACAGTTTGGATCATGTCACACGGATCAGCTTTTCTGGCAGAAATGGTTTGATGTGATGGTTTGATCTTGTTATTTTAGCTGGAACTGAAAACACAGGAGGCTCAGGGTCTGCAGGAGCAGCGGGACCAGTACTACAGCCACTTACAACAGTACACCGTGGCGTACCAGCAGCTGTCTGCTGAGAAGGAGGAACTGCACAAACAGTACTTGCTTCAGACACAGCTTATGGATCGGCTACAGCATGAGGAGGTTCAGGGGAAGGTGACAGTGGAAATGCACCTGAAAGAGCTGCAGCAGACCAAGGTAACAGTAAAAAGGGCAAGTGGAAAGACAGGAGGAGAAATGCTTAAGTACATTAAGTATTAATTAAGCGAAAGGTTGGACCAGATGATCTTTCACAGTCCCTTCCAACCTGGGCTGATTGGTGATTACATCCTGTGCAATACAGGTGAATGATACTTGTCTGGAGCAAAAGCACTGCTTTTTTTTGTGTGTGTGTGGTGCTACTGCCTGAAGATGTAGTGACTATTTGCAGTCTGGCTTACGCAGCTGGTGATGTCCTGCTGCTCTCTTGCAGGAAAATCTGGAAGCTGTAGCTAAGGAAAACAAAGAGCTGCAGGCCCAGATCAGTCAGTTAGCAGCAGACCTGGATGGCAGGATTTTGCACCGACTAGAAGGTGAGCAGCTGCAGCTGTTCTCCAGGGAGGAGGCAGAGCTGGGCTCTCTGGGGCATTACCTCCTTGTTCACCTTCCTCCTTTTACAGGAGATGGAGTTGAAAGTGAAGCAATGACTGAAGAAATCGAAAAATCTTCATTTGTGATCCCAGAGAAGTTTGAAAGCCATGAAGAAATGGTGAGTATTAACGGGTAGAAAAGCCTTTGGTTTTAGCTCTAAACAAACATCTAGAAAAGGAGGCAGGTTAAATGCAGAGAGGTGCCACTGGGTGCATGGAGTAGGCTGTTTGTCATCTGTGATCCCTACCAGCTAGGTGCAGTAATGAGCAAAGTGTAACAGTTCTTTGCGCACAGCAGCAAAAAAAATAACTTCTGCAGCATCCTTGCAAGATAGGCTGGAAGTCTGGCAGTGGCTTTCATTATGAAGACAACTCAGCTGGCTGAGTAGCTCGCTAATTAGGATGATGATGTTCTCTTTAGTTTGGAAGGCAATTTGGAAATGGTGTCAAATATCTTCTAGATTTTTCTGTAAGTACAGTCATAATTGGAAAATACTGTGATCAAGCAGATGTCACGGGAGCTAGTATTTAACCTGCGTATTTGTACTACTTGGGAATGAGAAAAGATGCAGTACTTGCTGCCTGGTTTAGTTACAGGGAGGTCACTTAGTACTTTGGTTTTGTACACATAAATGAGACAGGGGATGCACCGTTGATCATACTTCACACAGGAGAAGGACTAATGTGCGTACTCTGGAATTCCTCTTAGGTCGCTTTCTTGACATCTGCCATGTCCCAAGTGGAGAAGGAGCGAGAAGATATGAGGCAGCAGCTGGCTGCTCAGAAACAGCAGTGCAGAAGCCTCCTGCAGCAAATAGCGGCTCTTAGGCAGGAGCAGCAACATAACATCACGCTGGGTGGAGGTAAAAACTGTGTGCAGTTTGGGGACAGTGTGAATACGGAGGCGTGCCTCAGGCAGCTGGCCCTGGCCTCTCTGAAACAGATCTGCAGGTTTTGTGAGTGCACCGTGTCCAGGGAGGAACTGTAAATTACACATGTCCCTTCCAGGTTCCACTATGGATACTGTTCCAGTGGAGGTTCATGAGGCTTTGAAAACTGCCATGGAGAAACTACAGGTAAGCAAAGGATCTCATCTTCTTTCAGCCCCGCTGCACTGCTCAGCTAGACTTTGATCCACCGTCAGACTCTTACAGCGCAGACACACAAACTGTAGGGGTGTAAGTAGCACATGTTCCATAATAAGCTACTTCTTAAAAAGCTTATCACTGCTTGTCTCAGCACAGGAAAGCTTGCAGCAGTAACTCCCCACCCACCCCCAGAGGTTGTGAATATAAGGGCCTAACACTGACCTGTGGTGGTCTTCTAAAAAAAAAAATTAGCTGAAGAACAGACTCAGTCTCTTCACCCTGCTGGGATGATGCAGGTGGTTTGCACTCTTGGAGCTAAGTATGACCAGAGCTGTGCTGTCCCAGCAATGAGATGGTTAAAACGCACTTTGTTTCATCAGCCCTTCTGCTTCCCAAAATGCAGAGATCCTTTTTTTACACCACCTCTAGCTCTGTCCTCTCTGTTCCTTTTTAGTGTCAAATTGGAGACAAGTTGTAAAGGCAGCAGGATTTGTTCCCTAGGCTCAGACCAATGTGAATGGAGGGTGTTGTCTTTAATACAAGTATTCTCTGTACGTGAGCAGTTCAGATGATTGATGTCAATTTTTGTGTTCAGTCCCGTTTCACAGACCTGATGCGTGAGAAAGCTGATCTGAAGGAACGGCTGGAAGAGTTAGAACATCGCTGCATACAGCTGTCTGGCGAAACGGACACCATTGGTATGTTGGGGCAACACCAGCACAAGCTAAAGCTTGCTCAATGCATTATTTACTTGGGGAACAGAAGGTCCCCAACAGCTCTCGGAGCTGGAGCCCTCCAACTACCAAGCAGTTCACGTCTCCTACTGCTGCCTAACTAGGCTAGATCTCCGATCCAGGGGCAGATGTGCTGCATCTTCACGCTACATAGTTCTGTGCACACTGTGAGCCTTGTTCCCCAATCCTCCTAACACTCCTTACTGCCTCTCTTCTATTCCAGGGGAGTACATCGCATTATACCAGAGTCAAAGGGCTATCCTCAAACAGCGGCACCAGGAGAAAGAGGAGTACATCAGCAGGTTGGCTCAGGATAAGGAAGAGATGAAGGCAAGGAATCTTTTCTGTAGTAGTGCTCCAAGCAGGGCAAGCCTGGGGAGCACTTGCACAGTCCAAACTTTCGCATGTTTTTCTTCAGCTAGCTTTAATGTTAAAGTTGCTAGTTTTGTGTCAGAGGCAGGACTGCAAACTGCAGTGCAGTGTTTGTGTGCGTGTTTCATATGCTTTCCTTTACTTTGGTGCAGATGAAACTACTGGAACTGCAGGATTTAGTGATGCGTCTGGTCAGGGAAAGAAATGAATGGTACAGCAAGTATGTAGCAGCTGCCCAAAACCCAGAGCTGTTAGCAAGCCAGAATGAAAGCGTACTTCCAGTGGAGAGGCGTATTGAACTGAACGCTACCGATGGAGAAGGTGAGCTGCTGCCCGGACAAGTTCTGTACGGTGGAATAACCTGAGGTCTCTGTGTTGTGCTGGTCAGGGAAGAGTTACTTACCTGCCTGCCTTGTCCGCGTTCTTTACAGGGTTACGAGAAGTGAATTTATCAGATGAAGCAGAACAAGAGGCTGCTGCTCTTCATCAGTCCGGTTTCTCCCCTATTGACACTAAAGCTGCTCAGCCAAGCCAAGAGGACCCCACAGCAAAGCAGATAATGCAGCTTCTCAGAGAAATCCAGAACCCTCAGGAGAGGCTGGGCTCCCTGCTGGAAAACCCCTGCATTCCCTTCTTCTACCGTGCTGATGAGAACGATGAGGTCAAAATCATGGTAGTTTAAGTGGTGCTAAATCGTATTTCCAGCAGTTTTCTATGAGCCTGAAAGGACTTAACTGACCTGTACGTGCCCATACCTCTGCTCAGTGCCCTTGGTCAGAACAGATTCTTAAAGACATCAGGGAAGAGGGATTGCATCAGACTGGAACTTGAGCATCAGACCTCATCTTCCCTTTCTCTTTCTTCTGTTACTTGGTGTGCTTGGAGTACAGGCAGACTCAAACTAATCCTGGGAGGCAGCTGGTGCTGGCACTTCACCTGGGCCAGGTGTAGGCCAGGGGAAGGGGATTCCATGACTTTGGGCAGAATGACTTAATCCCTTGTCGCAGACTCTGCAGCCAGCTTCACAGCAGTGACTGAGCAACAGTTCTGACCCATCACTCATGACTGTCATCAGCCTAGTTCCTTCCAGGGCTCCCAAAGTAACTAACTTATTCTGGTAACGAACTCTTTGGACTCTAAACGGTTTGGTTTTGTTTCATACTACGTATCTTAAAATTTCCCACTTTCTTCTGCAGCCTGCCTCTTGCAACTGTATCTGAAGCCAGCCTTGTCAGTCTTGAACAGCCCCATTTATGCTCGTTGCTTGGGGAAGGGACCCAGGGTTGCCTTTTGAGTTCTGGTTACTTGACAAAGCTTTATGTGATTTTTGGGAGTGGGGTGGAAATGTAACTGCACTTTGAAGGATGACGTTTCACTTGTATGTGTCTGAAGGTTTTATTTATTTTAAAAAATGGGAGAAATAAGTAAAAGGAAACCACTTAATAAACATGCTTTGTTTTGAATTTCTGGACTCTAGGGGTTCTAGTTCTCCATCCCTTAACTTTCCTCTTCTCCCATTTTGGTAAGGAATGCATTAGAGGGGTGGAATCCAAGATCCTGTGGTCCCCGTTTAAGCTGCTGGGACACACATCAGCAATAGAGCCATCGCCTACACTGCCTTGAAGCTGTAGCCTTAATTCTAAGGAGAAAACAAGACACAGTGGGCGGAAAGAGTACCCTGAAAAGCAGGAGCAAAGCAAATGCCCTGGGTGTGCAAGTGGTGAAGTGAACTGCATGTGGATATCCTGCAGCTACATTTGCCCTTCAGGCAAGGACAGCCTGCTCACAGGATGATTAGTTTCAGCAGCAGAGTTTTAAGGAGAACCACGGGAGAGGTTTAAGGGACCTGATCATCACAGCATTGTGATCCAAACACACGAGCCTGGGCTAGTGCCTGAAGAAGCACTCACCACCTCCCTGTTAACCTGTCTGGAGGAGAGAGATGCAAGCACAGGAACACAGTATCAGTTTTTGGGTTTGTCAACAACCAAAGGAGAGACCATTCATTTCGTCTGTGTCCAAGTTGGTCAAGCTTTGCACCAGCACAGTAGCAAGAGCTTTTCTTCTAATGCCAGAAGCAGATTAAGTGTGGGTTTGTTGTGGGGTTTTTTTTGTTTTGTTTTTTTTTTAAAGTGGTTCATCTTGCTGTTTCCACATACAACTGAAAAAAGCACACACAGAACAATTAGTGCTTTCCTGTGAACCCACCAGGGGAAAAGGGAAGCTGTTTTTTGAACTCCTTTCATTTGAATGGCACAGGTGGTGCCTGTCTGTTGTTAGCATAAGAAGTGACATGGGCTCCCAGGGTCCTGGCTGCATGGGTTTGTGTATATAGTGTATCTCTGTAAAATGGTGTATATTCCTTGAAGAGAGACTAAGCCTCTTGCAGTGTTTATGCCTCCTCTGGCTGTTCTTAAATCTGTATCATAATTAGTGGGGGCAGGGCTATGATTTAATACAGAGCATTATTATAATGGAATAAATATTTATTGGGTGTTCTACTCTGGTACTGTGAAGGAGACAAGGTGAGTGAAGAAGGTCTGCAGTCTGTTGCAGAGGTGACTTAATCCTGTTACAAATTTGCTTTCTGAATAAACTTATTCAGATGGGCACTGACTAGATGTATTTGTTCTGCATTGATCACCTTGAAATTTGCCAGAAAAAAAAAGTGAATAATGAATTCTTTATTTAAAAGACCTGCCCTGGCATCAATGCCCTTTTCACTCAGTTTCCATGAATGCTCTCCTGTAGACAGACTGCGGACAAACCCAAGATGTTTCTCTTGGCTAGCATTTCACATCCAGGCCCAGGCCCAGATCCATTGTTCACCGTTCCCTTTAGGAGCGTTGCCCTGACCCCACCGTCGGAGGCAGGCATGACCCAAGAGCAGGAACTACTGTTCAGCTGACACACAACTGACCTGCCCCTGCACCTCCGATTTGAGGAAAAATAGAAAAATGCTTCTTAAAGGCCATAAGCACCCACCAACAGGAAACAGCTGTTAGGCTGGAAAGAGGATGCTGCTTGACAAGGGGGTAGACAGGAGTTTATCTTGACTGGTATTCTCATCTTAACCTTTGACAACCTGCACATTAGGGGTTTCTAGTTGTGCAAAATAAGGCTCTAATACCTACTTGGAATACATAGTTTTGCCTTCAAAAATAAAATATTCAAGAACAACCCTATATATAACACCAGGGATAGATGGAACAGCTCCAGTGAGGGGAAAAAATAAAATAGGACAAGGTGTGGCATGTAATGGTTATTGCCTCAATTGTGTAGAAGCTGAAATTAAACCCATAAAAACACGCAAGACAGAGACAGCGAGAACACACGTGGGAAGGAATCACTAGAGATCCAGTCCGGTCACTCAACCCACACCAGCATCTACTACAAATAAAATCTTCAAGGAGATTTTTAGCTAAAACCTTACTAGGGAGATTCCACAAGTACCACAGCCAGCTGCAGCCAAGAGCACTCAGGGCTAAATCAGGCATCACTACTACAGTGATTTAAGTCAGCAACTCCAATGTTCCTGGTCTCTTCCTGCAGAAGTAGTGCTGGAGCCCCACTGCACAGGGGTTTAAGGAATCCATTGCCATCATTGGGATGACAGTGCTAAATTCAGGAATTATGGAGAAACGTAGCACTCGCTGTTTCAGTACAGAGACAGCAGGAACAGGTTTACCCAGTTTATACCAGGGGAGAAATCCCATTTCAGCCTAAAAGCAACTTCCAAGCAGGAGCTGGCCAGGTGTGTTAGACTGTACCTCAGATACCGGCCCAAAAGACACCACTTGACAGAGAAACTACAACTCAACGTCCACTTGCTGTGTTCCACAAACAGCCTAGGCAAAAATACCTTTTGAAGCAATTTTGTCTGCAAAACTCCCACCTTCTGTATGTCCAGTCACTGAAGCACCTCCACGCATTTCCCTTTACAACGGAGAAAGGGAGTTAACTTCTGCATCTGACAAGCTGTTTCACTCTGCTGCAGCTCCTCGACACCACTGTTGATGCAGATCTGTTCCACCTTCCCTATCAGTGATAGCACCTGCTTGCATGTATAGCTTTTTAAGCTCTATGGGATGAAAAGATGAGGTTATAATTAAAATCACCAACAGTTTGAAAATAACCCAGAGAAAGAGCAAAGGAAAGAGAGACAGTTTTATTCTAGTCATGGAAACCTTCATTATACAGAAATGAGAGTTTATTTCATCCAATAAACAAGAGTGACAGGTAGATCACAAACTGCATCACAGCTACTACCAGCACTGAGACAGTTCACCCACAACTCTGGGGTAATACAATAACCCAACTGCACACAGCAGAGAATTCAACAATCAGCTCAAAAACTCAACATTGGGATTTGGTTAACTTTTTGGATGTGTGTGTATATATATATGTATAATAGATATCCTTTCCC